GTGTCCAGACTGTTTTCTCCAAAGGCTGGACTCGTCCACATTCCCACTAGCAACGAACGAGGGTCCCTTTCCCAACATCCTTGCCAACACTGGTTGTTTTTGTTCTTTGTGATATGTGCCAGCCTCACTGGTGACTATATTTCATTGCCGCCCCTCTCGGAGAGCCCGGCAAGCTACCAAGAGTATTTCGCCCTCAAGGCAGAGCCTGGCAAGCTACCCATGATGTATTCGATACGACAAACACAGTAACAACAAGTCTCATGATAGAGACATTACTGGGCCCGCTCGAGCAAACTGATTTTAATTCACATTTCCCTGATGACTTGAACCTACTTCCTAAGTATGTCTCCATTCCCTTCATTTCACTTATGGTTGGTACTCCAGATCTTCCCATAATTATAAAAAGAATCTTATAAAAAAGTTTTCCTCACTCCAGAGCAACTCAGTAATTCTTCCCACAGTGATCAAAGTAAAACTTTACAAAATGGCAACATAACTATATTCTGTGTGTACTGGGATACAGTTGATGTAATAGACAAGTTATTTTGTGTCCAAATACCAAATCTTGGCTTTTTCCTCCAGTTCTCAGTCTGTGATGCAAACAAAGTTTCTCAAAGATACTTTTATTTTGCCTTTGCTCTTCCCATTGTAAGGCCAGAGATAGAAATGTAAGGGCCGCCCGGACTAAGAGTCATGAAAGAGTTACCTGGTAGGAAAGAGTTAACCAGAAAACTGTAAAAGCTGTGAAAGCTAGAGTTGCAAAAGCTGGCTCGAAAGAGTTATAATGTAGCTCCCACCTACACCCTGCTAGGACCTTGTGGTTGGGCCAGATATGGGGACATGTGCGAGGAAGTTAATCTTGAGCAAGTGTCGTGCTGTTCTTGGTAAAGCTGCAGATTGCTGTACTGTAAGATTCCTTTTTTTATTCTTGGTTATAAAAACCCACTGTCCTTTGGCTCGGGGCTCTCTGCCTCTGTCCTGTTTGCGGGCTGTGTAGTGAGCCCCAGCATGCTTGGACAATAAACCCTGTGCGTGTTGCATGAGAAAGTCTCTTGGAGTCTTCCTTCACGGGCGGCGAGCGTCTTGACCCTAACACCATGATCCCCCTCCTGACACAGAACTGATCATGCTCTAGCTAAGTTTATCCCCATTAAATTTCATCTGTGAGAGCAGAATTCACGTTTGATCACTTGTTTTCATGCCTATTGGTGCACTTAATATTTGTAAAATTGATGAATCACTTCATTAACATTAACTTTCTGAATATTAAACAAAACTCTGGTAAAGGCTAAACATTAGGAATGAATGGAAAGAAACTCAGGCTTGGTACTGTATAGTTATTTGGAGTCTAATCTTAATCATGCTGTAATTACCGTAAAAATTACAATAGTAGTTACAATTACTACTGCTTCTGAGCCTCACGCAGCTGTACTTAGCTCTCACCTCTTGCTCTGCTCACAGGGATCACTCCTGGCAGGGCTTGGGGGAACCATAAATGGTGCAGGGAATCAAACCCAGGTCGGCCGCGTGAATCACCTGCTGTGCTATTGCTCCAGCCCCTCTATCAATGGACTGAACCTAGTAGAAACGAAACAAAGATTTGAGAAGTCATTAAATGACAAGCCTGGTATTGCTGTCAATAATGCAAATTCTAATCTAAGGATTATGATTGAGTAAGAAGGCATTAACAGTGAAGAACTGGATTTCCAAAAAGAAACCATTTGGGGACGTTCTCCTCTCGCGTCTTGATCGCCACAGTACTGACTAGTATTAACAAATATCACTAAGCAATCTTATGAAAGGCACTGGAGCAAATATTCCATGTATTAGCTCATTCCTTCTAAGAGCCTCTGAAGAAAATGCTTATTATTTGACTATTCTTTCACTTTCCAAAAATTAATGGTAACTTGCTCCAATTGCTTCCATGTCAAGATGAAGAGCTCTATCCACAATCACCACAGGGTACTGACACTTTGTCCCCTTCACGCATAGGTGCAGTGGAAAGCACAGGACTTGTGACTCACCAATCCTTCAGATTTAAACCACAGATCAACTTCTTTCTCAGCACTTTTTACTGAGTCACGACGATGAACAATGTTGCTGCCAACCTGAATGCAAAAGTCCCTTGAATGGTGCTAGACTGAGAATCCGCTGGGTTGGGTCTCCCCAGTCAGCAACTTCACAACACTCAGTCCCTTGCAGACCAACTCACCATGGGTCAAGAGTTCATGAACTTCACAAGCTTTGGGAAGAACAGAGGGACCGGCGATACGCTGCTGTGGGAGGTGCTTGGGGTCCTGCAGAACTGCATGGCCACAAGGCAGAACCCCTTCTGCTCCAGACACTTCATGTTCTATGCTGCGCTCCCTTGGGCTTGATGCAATGAAGGTGCGCTCTGCGTTGGCTCTGGTCTGAGGAGCTGGGGACGGGGAACATAGAAGTTGCCAAGTGAGGCAGGCGTAGGCCCTTACTCTCGTTTTAACTGAAGTAGAAACTGAGAGTCTAGGTTTTTGTGTTTGTTCTGTGGCCACACCTAGGGGTGCTTACTCCCGGTACTGCACTCACAATCACTCGTGGCAGGGGTCGGGGGTCCATCAGGGTTGCTGGAGACTGAACCTGGGTGAGCTGTGTGCAACACAAACGCCCGACCTGCTGTACTAAGTCTCTCCCGTCTACCAAACTGAGGTTTAAAGAGTTTACCTTGTGCAGTATTAGCATACGCCTCAGAGTCCTGGGCCCCACGAAAACAGGACGAGAACGCTCTTCGGGTCTCTCAATGAGGAACTGAAAGAGCTATGCTAGGAATATCACACTTCACTCAAATGAGAGAAAGAATCCGGAGGTTTTTTTTTTTTTTTTTTTGCTTTTTGGGTCACACCTGGCGATGCACAGGGGTTACTCCTGGCGGTGCTCAGGGGACCATATGGGATGCAGGAAATCGAACCCAGGTTGGCCTCATGCAAGGCAAATGCCCTACCCGCTGTGCTATCTCTCCAGCCCCGAATCCTGAGTTTTGACCTCCATTGATGGTCAAGAATCAGGGACGCTCTCTTGTTTTCCAAGGCGTTGAAAATCAGATGGGCTGGACACGTAATGAGATTTGGAGACGACCACTGGACTAGAGCCGTTACCGACTGGATTCCATGGGACGTCAAAAGACCGCGTGCCCGCCCACCTACCAGATGGTCAGACTTCTTCGTCAAGACCCTGAACGATCGGTTTGAGGCTCTTCGTGTTTCTAGAATGAACAGACACCACTGGGCTACACTAGCACGTGACAGGGACAAATGGAGACATTACTGGTGCCCGCTCGAGCAAATCGACGATTAACAGGAAGTCAAGTGATCAAGTGATCCAGTGATCAAGTGACCTTGCACAGTTAGTCAAAGGCATACACTTTTGCTCATGCAAACCAAAACTCAAAACAACTGTAAAATAAGATAACTACATCAGTGCTTCTTTGCAGTAAAGCAACAAATCATACTTTCTAAAGACTATACTTTATTTCAACTACTTTCAGAAAAATCACTGTAATAATAGTTTGCTATGTGCTTACTATGTGTCTAGCCCTGTTCCAAACACAAAATGTGCTTATTTCCTTTAATTCTGCAAACATGTACTGAGGTTGAAATGATCAAGTGACAAGGGAACTCAAAACACTGGTGACCCAAAGAGACATGCCGGATCCAGTCCCAGAAGCCAAATGGAAGATGAAGCCAGAATCCAGACCTGAGAGTCAGTGTCCAGAGCCTTTTGCCTTAACTACACCATGAAATCGTTTCTGAAGGAAAAACAAGTTCACATAAATTTTTTCAGTTTTGTTTTTTTTTAATTAATGCAAATTCTAAGGTAAATTATGGGACTGCTACATCTTTGGTCCCTGATCCCTATGCTGGTAACACATATTAATATACAGTTTGGAGCAATTCAAGCAGCTACACACGAAGAGTTAGAAGACAGGGGCAGGAGAGACAGTCCTGCAGGCAGAGGGCATTTGCCTTACAAGCAGCCAGCCCCGGTTTGATCTCTTGCACTTTATATGGTCCCCCAAGCCCTGCCAGGAATAAGCACTGAGTACAGCAGGGTGTGACCCAAAACAAAAAACAAAACGAAGGAGAGAGAGGGGAGAGAGAGAGAGAGAGAGAGAAAGAGAGAGAGACAGCAATTTCTGAACCTTCTCTATACTTTCAAAGCTCTGTAATCATAAGAAGAACACTTATTGCAGTTTTATATTAAAAACGGCAATAATAACTCTAACCTATCTTATACATATATCAAAAAATTAATAAAAGGACATTTACATATCAAGATACCATGTATTAGGACTTGAAAAACTCTTCAAATCATTCAAAAGTCAACACACAACCACTTGAATGCCAATTCTTCCTCAGGTTAACCAACGGTAGGAAACAAAGTCAGATATAAAACATTTGTAGACTAGTATGTTTACAGCAGCATCAGCTCACTGCTTGTGCCTATGTTGCTGATGGATGTGGACTGTAAACTACTGAAAGTAAAAGTACTGGAGTTGAACGAAGACATCACTGGACTTTTTCAAATGAGCTGAAGTCAGTTTTCTTTCAACTTAATACTGAAAGCAAATATCCTGCAGCTAACAGATTTTACGTTAGTGAAGTGGTACAATATTAAAAAGTTTTATAAACAACCTGGTTACCTATTTAATTGCCTCTCAGTTTATACGCTAATAAACAGCTCTGTCCCATGGCTATAAAACTCATTAAAGTGCAGAAATAATGTAACACTTTGAGATACAGAAGAGTGTACCTAGATCTAGACTTAAAAAATTTGTTTTTTTACAGTGCTAGGAATCAGATTCAGGCTTCACATGGGCAAGGCAAATGCTGTACCACTAGTAGCTCTATCTCCAGTCACAGATTTAAGATTTTTAAATGATACAAACTACTATCTTTACAAATACATTTTATTATTGAGTTTTGTTTCAGAATAAGGCTTTTAAATATTTCACTTAAGTTCACTTCAATTTTCAATTACAATTCACTTTATAGTTAATTATATTCAGTCCTTTTCTGTATGATGCCATTTCCTTAAAAAGCCACACATACTATTTTCAGTAGAGAAAATTTTACTTATTAAGATCAAAGGTAACTAATTTCAGTAAAAATGGAAGTCAACCACCATATCTTTTCTTGAGTTCTTCAAGAGACATATTCTTCAATCCTGATTTATCTATGTGATTGAACAATACACGTGCAACTGGAAAGGAGAAAAAAATTCTCCATGTTAAATCACCATTTTATAAATCTAACTGGAACAAAAATTAAAAGGGATACTCTGAAATGTAAAACAAAAACTTTTTACATTTTAAAGCAATAATCATTAGTATTATTATAACTCTAATTCAAATATTTTAAAAAGGCAACCCAAGAATAAGAAATCGTACAGCACTCCAATGAAATTCTTTTTTGCTAGAATATTTCACTTTTTGACCCACCTTGTCACCTTACTCCTGACTCTGGCCAGGGGTTATTCCTGACAGAGCACGGGAAACAGTGTGTGGTGCTAGGGACTGAATCTGGGTTGGCCCTGTGCAAGGCAGAGAAACGCCTTACTCCCGCTGGTACTATTGCTCAGGCCCGAGAAATAGTATTATTATTATTATTATTATTATTATTTGCTTTTTGGGTCACACCCGGCGATGCTCAGGGGTTACTCCTGGCTCATGCACTCAGGAATTACTCCTGGCGGTGCTCGGGGGAACCATATGGGATGTCGGGAATCGAACTAGGGTCGGCCATGTTGGCTGCGTGCAAGGCAAACGCCCTACCCGCTGTGCTATTGCTCCAGCCCCGAAATAGTATTATTCTTAAATAGGAGGTTTGACACAGATATTCTGCTATACCTTGCCACTTCTATCACATTATTAGCCTTCCCATTAAAATAACTTTCAAGATTACTTTTCCCCAAAACTAATAATGCCCTTTTTATGGCTAAAACACACCATCTCTTTACAATTTCTGCAACAGTAAAACTAAATGGAGAGTTAGTTTGGCTATATAAGCAGTACTGTGATAGTAGAATTAATGTTCCAAATCACCAGAAAAAATATACATTACAATAGGAAGTTAACTTAAAAAAATCCTACTTACTCAATGTAAAAGTCATGCAGAATTTTAATGATCTGGTTGAATACATCTGGATCTAGATTTTTCTGGAACAACTTAGGATATAAGGACGGTTCAATTTGCTTGGGAAAAAAAATACAAAGGTAAAATTAAGCAGCGCGCCACCTTGTCCCGCAGGTGGGTTGGAGGAGCACCCCCCCCACCCCCCACGCACCGTTTCGGACTCCCCTAGTCCCAGGAACCAGCGAGAGGCCTTGTCCTGCAGGCAAGTGTGGCCTCGAGCCAGGGGGCGTGGCCTCTGAGTTAGGGGCGTGGCTAGGAGCAGGACCTCCTCTGAGGGCACCAGCCACTCTTATTTTCCCCTTTCCTAGCTCTTTGGACTCAGGTAATTTGGGGAAGAATACCCTGGCCATCTCAAACACATTATGCCAATAATCCACTAGCTTACCCCAACTGCACCATAATACCCTTAGACACAAGAACCTGTACATGTCCAATGTAAAAGAATACATCCCCCGAAATGTCACTAGAGGCCTCACATAAGCCACAGAGAGCACATGAGAGGAAGCTGAAGGGGAAAAAGGCGACCCCCATAGACCGAGCTCACCTAGAATCCCGAATCGCACCAGGAGGGAAAACTGATAGTGAAGATAGAAAACTGAGAGACTGGAAGATCCCACCTCCATACTACCACAAGAACATGAAGAAACTAGTCGAAGTGACATCTGCACTTGTTTATTCATTGCAGCACTCTTTACAATAGCCAGAAACTGGAAGAAACCTGAATGCCCAAGAACAGATGACTGGTTAAAGAAACTTTGGTACATCTACACAATGGAGTACTATGTAGCTGTTAGAAAAGGTGAAGTCATGAAATTTACATACAAGTGGTACAACATGGAAAGTATCATGCTAAGCGAAATGAGTCAGAAAGAGAGGGATAGACATAGAAAGATTGCATTCATCTGGGGGATATAAAGTAACAAAATATGAGATTAATACCCAAGAATAGCTGAGATCAACACCAGGAGGATTACTCCATATCTTAGAGGCCAGCCAGGTATTCTAGGGGAAAGGGCAATTCAGAGAGAAAAGGGAGCACCAAATAAAGGGTGTCTGGAGGATCCTCCCAGGAGGGGAGATGCATGTTGAAAGCACACTATGGACTGAACATGTTTGCTAGTCAATGCCTCTTTTGCAGACCACAACACCCAATAGGAGAGAGAGAACAAAAGGGAATGCCCTGCCACAGAGGCAGGGTGGGACGGGGGGATGGGGTGGGAGGGATGTTATCCATGGGGGTGGAAAATGGGCACTGGTGGAGGAATGGATATTTGATCATTGTATAGCCAAAACCCAAGCACAAAAATTTGTAAATCTACAACTGTACCTCATGGTGTTTCACTAATAAAAAAATTAAAAAAAAAAAGAACATGAAGAAACAGCACAAATCCCCGCCATGAGGGGAAGATGAATAAAAAGGTCCAGAAGCCCCAAGAGAGGCCACTCACAAATATGGTCTCTCCGATAAGAAATGCAGAGTCGAAATGTTGAAGATGTTCAATGAACTCAAAGAAACAGTGGAAAAGACATCCAGGAAATTAAAAGAGGACTTGAATGAAACAGTGGAATGGGCAGTCAACAGAATCAGGAAGAAATGATAGTAGAAATAGGAAAGCTACAAACAGAAATCATGAATAAAGGATTCAAGAGATGAAATAAAAAAAACTCAGTGGGTGCCCTCAACAGTAGAATGGCTACAGCCAAGGACAGAATCAGTGAGCTTGAAGATGAGCAGCAGAAAGTTGACAGACAACAAGAAACCATGGGAAATGACCTCAAAATAGCGAATTGGGGATGAATCCAAGAGGAACAACAGGAGAATCATCAAAGTACCAGAAGGACGGGGAGGCAACTGCAATGAAAAGGCCACAGTTAAGATATCACTGCCGAAAAGTTCCCAGAGCTGGAGAATGCAGGCAACCAGATCCAAGGAGCCCAAAGGGTACCAACTAAAAGAGACCCTAACAGAAACACTCCAAGACACATCATGGTCAGAATGATGGATGATACCGATAGAGATGCAATACTATAAGCAGCAAGGTCAAAGAAGGGAATCACATACAAAGAAGAACTCCTATCAAAGAAAACCCTCCAAGCCCAAAGACAATGGGGGGATATAGTGAAAAAACTGAATGAAACGAATGCCTCACTAAGAATACTCTATCCAGCTAAACTCTCACTAAAACTCGAAGGAACTGTACACTATTTCGTGGTTAAACAGCTCAGGAACTTCATAGCTTCAAAACTTAAAAGAAGGACTAGGGGGGCTTCCAGAAGACGAGAAAATCCCCTACAAGCACAACAAACCCTTACAGAAAGATGGCACAAAACCCTGTGACAATAATCTCTCCCAACGTCAATGATCTAAATGCACCAATCAAGAGACACAGAGTGGTAAAATGGATCCAGAAACTGAAACCAACATTCTGCTGCGTACAAGAAACTCATCTCAACAGTCAGCGCAAACACAGACTCAAAGTGAAAGGATGGAAGACAATCCTGCAAACAAACAACTCCCTCAAAAAAGCTGGGGTGACCAAACTAGTATCCAACAACATAGATTCAAGTTAAAAAAGACTAGAAGGGACAGGGAAGGCCATTTTCTATTTATCAAGGGATATGTACAACAGCAAGAAATCACACTCTTAAATGTATATGCACCTCACGAGGGACCAGCTAAATACTTAGAACACCTGCTAACAGATTTTAAGGAGGACACTGCTACCAATACAATAGTAGTCGGAGACTTCAACATCGCCTTATCACCTCTGGATAGATCAACAAGAACAAAACTCAGCAAGGAAACATTGGCATTGATGGAACAAACAGAAGAGACAAGGCTAACAGACCTATACACGGCTTCACACCCCCAAAAGAAAGAATACACATTCTTTTCCAGTTGACACGGAACATTCTCCAAAACAGACCATGTACTGGATCACAAAACATACCTCACCAGAATCAGGAAAACAGAAAGTGTATCAACTATCCTCTCAGACAACAATGTGCTGGAAACAGAAGTTAACCATGCGAAAACGTGGAGAAGCAAACCCAACAAATTAAACAACTCAATGTTGAACAACGAGTGGGTCGGGAAGGAAATCAAGGAAGAAATCAAAAGATACCTGGAAACAAATGAGAATGAAGACACGACTTACCAAAAGCTATGGGACGCAGCTAAAAGCAGTATTAAGGGGAAAATGTATAGCCCTGCAAGCATTCCTCAGGAAAGAAGAGCCCACATAGATAACTTGACTTCACAGCTCAAGATCTCAGAAAAGGACCAACAAAAGGAGACCAAACCAGGAAGAAAGAAAGAAATATTAAAACGTAGAGAAGAAATTCATGACATGGAAACCCAAAAAACAATACAAAAGATCAATGAAACCAAGAGCTGGTTCTTCGAGAAAATATACAAAATTGATAAACCACTAGTGAGACTCACAAAGAAAGACAGAGACAGAACTCTAATTAACTGAATCAGAAATGAAAAGGGGGACATCACAAGAGAAACCAAAGAAATTCAGAAGATCATCAGAGACTACTTTGAAAGTCTGTATGCCACGAAACAAGAGAACCCAGAAGAAATGGATAAATTCCTGGATTCCTATAATCTCCCAAAGTTGAACCAAGAAAATCTGGAAAACCTGAGTAGACCTAAAATATCAAGGAAATTGAAACTGCAATCAAAAGTCTTCCCAAAAACAAAAGCCCAGGTCCTGATGGATTCACTAGCAAATTCTTCCAAACATTTAAAGACTTACCAAAAGCTATTGCCAGTTCTCCTCAAGCTTTCCCAAGAAATCAAAGACCAATAAACCCTCCCAAACAGTTTCTATGAGGCACATATTTCCCTAATACCAAAAGCAAACAAAGACGCCACAAAAAAAGAGAAAACTATAGGCCGATATCCCTGATGAACACAGATGCAAAGATCCTCAACAAAATATTAGCAAACGGAACCCAACAACTCATCAAAAAGATCATACACCACGACCAAGTGGGATTCATCCCAGGGATGCAATGATGGTTTAACATTTGGAAATCAATCAACATAATCATCATATCAACAAAAGAAAAGATAAAAACCATATGATCATATCAATAGATGCAGAGAAAGCATTTGACAAGATCCAGTACCCGTTTATGATGAAAACTCTCACCAAAATGGGTATAAAAGGGACTTTCCTCAAAATAGTCAAAGCCATCGATGCCAAACCTATGGCAAGCATTATCCTCAGTGGGGAAAAACTAAGGGCCTTCCCTCTAAGATCAGGGACAAGACAAGGATGCCCACTCTCTCCACTTCTGTTTAATATAGTACTGGAAGTACTTGCAATAGCGGTTAGGCAAGAAAAAGACATTAAGGCATTCAGATAGGAAAGGAAGAAACCAATCTCTCATTATTCGCAGATGACATGATATTATACTTAGAGAACCCTAAGACCTCTACCAAGAAACTCCTAGAAACAATAGACTTGTATACTAAAGTTGCAGGCCGGAGTGATAGCATAGCGGGTAGGGCCTTTGCCTTGCACTCAGCTAACCCAGGTTCAATTCCTCTGCCCTTCTCGGAGAGCCCGGCAAGCTACTGAGAGTATTCCACCTGCATAGCAAAGCCTGGCAAGCTACCCATGAAGTATTCGGTATGCCAAAAAACAGTAATAAGTCTCATAATGGAGACATTACTGGTGCCCCCTTGAGTAAATCGAAGAACAAATGGGGGACAGTGCTACAGTGTTATAGTAAAGTTGCAGGCTATAAAATCAATACCCAAAAGTCCATGGCTTTCCTAGATGCAAATAACGTGAGAGAAAAAAATGACATGAAAAAAGCAATCCCGTTCACAATCGTGCCTCAGAAAATCAAGTACCCTGGAATCAGCTTAACTAAGGAGGTAAAAGACCTGTACAAAGAAAACTACAAAATGCTACTTCAGGAAATAAAAGAAGACACAAGGAAATGGAAAGATATCTCCTACTCATGGATTGGGAGAATTAACATTGTCAAAATGGCAATACTCCCCAAAGCATTGTACAAATTCAATGCAATCCCTGTGAGGATGCCTATGACATTCTTCAAAGAAATGGAGCAAACATTCCTGAAATTTATATGGAACAGTAAGCCCCCACAAGTAGCTAAAACAATTATTGGGAAAAAGAAAATGGGAGGAATCAACCTCCCCAACCTAAACTCTACTACAAAGCGGTAATAATTAAAACAGCATGGTACTAGAACAAAGGCAGAGCCACAGACCAATGGAACATGGTTGAATATACTGACACCCCTCCTCGCCCCAAATATATGACCATGTAATCTTTGATAAGGGAGCAAGACATGTGAAGTGAAGCAAGGAAAGCCTCTTTAATAAATTGTGCTGGCAAAACGAGACAGCTACATACAAAAAAATGGACTCGGATCTCTACCTAACACCATGTACAAAAGTAAGATCAAAAAAGATTAAAGACCTCAACATCAGACCAGAATCCATAAGGTACATTGAAGACAAGGTTGGCAAAACCTTTCACGACATTGAAGCTAACGGTATCTTCAAACATGACATGCCACTGGTCAAGCAAGTGAAAACAGAGATAAATAAATGGGACTATATTAAACCAAGTTCTGCACCTCAAAAGAAACAGTGACCAAAATACAAAGACAGTCTACAGAATGAGAAAAGATATTCACCCAATACCCATCTGATAAGGGGTTGATATCAAGAATTTACAAAGCATTGGTTGAACTCCACAACAAGAAAACTTCCAACCTCATCAAAAAATGGGGTAATGAAATGGAACAGAAACTTTCTCAAAGAAGAAATCTGAATGGCTAAAAGGCACATGAGAAAATGCTCTATATCACTAATCATCAGGGAGATGCAGATCAAAAACAACAGTGAGATATCGTCTCACACCACAGAGACTGGCCCATATCCAAAAGAACAAAAGCAACCAGTGTTGGTGCAGGATGTGGGAAGAAAGGGACCCTCCTTAGCTGCTGGTGGGAATGGCGACTGGTTCAGCCCTTTTGGAAAACACTATGGACGATTCTCAAAAAATTAGAAATTGAGCTCCCATTTGACCCAGCAATACCCCTCCTGGAAATATAACCCAGAGAGGCAAAAAAGTACAGTCGAAATGACATCTGCACTTTTATGTTCATTGCTGCACCGTTACAATAGCCAAAATCTGGAAAAAAAACCAAGTGCCTGAGAACAGATGACGGGTTAAAGAAACGTTGGTACATCTACACAAGGGAATATATGCAGCTGTTAGAAAAGATAAATCATGAAATTTGCATACAAGTGGTTCCATGGAAAGTATCATGCTAAGTGAAATGAGTCAGAAAGAGAGGGACTGACATAGAAAGACTGCACTCATCTGGGGAATATGAGGTAACAGAATGGAAGACAAACACCCAAGAATAAGTATCAGGAGGTCTGCTTCACGGCTTGGAAGCCAGCAGCACATGCCGGGGGAAAAGACAGCTCAGATAGAGAAGGGAACACCAAATAAAGGGTCTTTGGAAGATTCGCTCGGGATAGGAGATGCGTGTTGAGAGTAGACTATGGACCGAACACGAGGGCAACTCAATACCTCTACTGCAAACCGCAACACCCTAAAGGAAAGAGAGCAAATGGGAATGAGCTGCCACAGAGGCAGGACAGGGTGGGGGGATGGGGAGGGGGATGGCAGGGCTACCGGGATCACTGGTGGTGGAGAGTGGGCACTGGTGGAGGGATGGGGACTCGATCATTATATAACTGAAACCCAAGCACAAAAGTTTGTGAGTCTACTGCTGTACCTCATGGTGTTTCACTAATTAAAATTAAATTAAAAAAGATAAAATTGAAATTATGAAAACATTCAGGGACCACAAATTATATAACTGATTAGATGATAAGCAAATATAACAAAGAATAACTACCATAAGCACTATAAGCAAAAGCACTGAGTGAATAATGAGGTTGACACTGAACGTAATTATGACAGAATAAAAGTAACTAAAGATACTTGGATCTCTGTTTAAGCCAGTTAAAAATTTCATAAACAGGGACTAGAGAGATAGCATACCAAGTAGGGTGCTCGCCATGCATGACATTGACCCAGATTCAATCCCATATGGTCCCCCAAGCCCACCAGGAGTAATTCCTGAGTGCAGAATCAGGAGTAACCCTTGAACACTGCCGGGTGTGATCAAAAAGAAAAAAATTCATTAGCAGAGAGACAGATATACTACCCTGAGACAGGAAATCTGAAAGTTCAAGAAGCAATAAAATAATTTAAGGTAAAGGTAAAGGCCCTCCCGTTGATCGTCGATTTGCTCGAGCGGGCCCAGTAACGTCTCCACTGGAGACTTTGTTGTTACTGTGTCTGGCATATCGAATACTCTCGGTAGCTTGCCGGGCTCTCCGAGAGGGGCAGAGGAATCGAACTCGGGTCGGCCATGTTGGCCACTTGTAAGGCGAGCGCCCTACCCGCTGTGCTATCGCTCCAGCCCCGGAGAAAAGAATAAAGGGAAAAAATGTTTTTAATATGCAACAAAGAGTGTAGTCAAATCCAAATCTTAAAATAATTTAAGATATTAAAAAATAAAATTACATGAGAATATAGATTTAGGAAGCAATGGCATACTTCGTAATTTCAAGAAATAATCTGAAATTGTTTTCCTGAAAAATTCATTATTTAGCAATCCATTAATTCATTATTTAGCAAATTTCTTATGATTTGATTATTTTTCTAGAAGCAACCAGAAGCTTGCTTTTAGGCCAGATATTGCAAGCATTGCTTAAAACATAGACGGTACACAATGTATTTTAGCATTTTTCCCCAGTTAAAAAGGTAATAAATTTATGATACCAAAATTTATATTATTTTCCTGGAATTTCTATAGACTCTATTTTCAAAGATTTCCCTGGGTGCAAGTATTTACAATGGTCCTGTCAGGATAATATATCCTATCAGGCAACGGGTAAGAATGGTTTCTATATAAATATACAAAAAAAAAAAAAACTCTACTACTACATCCGGTTGCACAGGGTGATGCAGCGTTTTATTTTGAGGAGGACGAAGAGAGCTGTGGAGAAGCACTTAACGAAGAAGTATGGACCATGTGCTGAAGTGCCACCTCTCCAGCCCACAGAAAGCTTCTTATGAGAACATCCTGCAGCCTGGGTGAGTCGGCCTGCTCCCGCTCCCTGCACCTGCCTTCCTTCCTTTTGTTTTTTAACCCTTTCTTGGGAGCGAGAGCACAGTGGGGAGGGCGTTTGCCTTGCACACAGCAGACTGGAGTTTGACTCCTCCGCCCCTCTCGGGGAGCCCGGCAAGCTACCGAGAGTGCCTGCCCGCGTGGCAAAGCCTGGCAAGCTACCCCTGGCCTATTCCATATGCCCCAAACAGGAACAAGTTTCACAACGGAGGCTTACTCTAGCAAACAGATGAACAACGGGAGGACACTTTAGTAACAAAAGGGGTCCCTGAACGTCTAGCTACAATGCAACTAAGAGCTGCTCCTTACCTTCAAAATACTGATACAACATATCTGGAGAACTTTTCAACTGTCTGAAATCAGATTCAAGCTGGAATGAGTTTGCCGGAAGAGGCGGAAGAACAGCTGTGATAAACGGAGTCAAGCCTTTGTCTGCCTCTGTAGAAATCTTCTCACTGAATGCCGGACACACATTCAGCCTCAAACTAATTGGAGGTCTGAAATATTGCAGAAGCACCAGTCAACAATCACAAGAGAACCATATAAAAAGTTACGAGTTTACATAAGGAAGGGATCATTTTAATTCTACGACGATTAGTATTGTATATATTGTGTTGTTCTGGGACCACACCCAGTCACGTTCAGGGGTTACTCCTGGCTCTGTGCTCAGGATCACTCCTGGTAGGTTCGGGGAACCATGTAGGATTCCAGGAGCCGAAACACAGAGGGCCACATGCAAGGCAAGAGCCCTACCTGCTGTACTATTTCTCTGGCCCCAATATCGTATTCTTAAAAATGACTGGATTACTCTAGCTGAAGCATACATATTTTTAACAAGACAGATTAAGCCTCTGAAAATTCCCACATGCAGAGTAAATAATCTATTCTTGTATGTTCGGCCTTATTAAGCTGGAAGCCATTTAAACACATCATTTTTATACCCCTCATTACTACATTACATATACATAAAACTCAGCCCTTCAGAATCCTGAACAGTTTTAGGAAAGATAATCCAAGAGGGAAAGAATGTTCTTCCTTCTTAAAAACAGAACAAAAACTATGTAAAATGTTAATCCACAATCCATCAACTCACATGTATCGCTATAAACCAAATTATGACTCTGTGGGGTGTTTGCCTTGCATGAGGCTACTTGGGTTCAATCCCCAGCATCCCATATGATTCCCGGGGCCCCTGCCAGGAGTGATCCATGAGACCAGAGCCAGGAGTAAGCCCTGAGCACCACCTGGTGTGCCTCAAAGCCCAAAAAATAGAAAATAAATAGAAGTAGTATTAAAATTCAAAGTGAAAAAGAAACATCTAAGAGGATTAGGTAGGGCTGGAGTGACAGCACAGTGGTTAAGGCATTTGCCTTGCACACGGCCGACCTGGGTTTGATTCTTCCCTCCATCCCTCTCGGAAGAGTCTGGCAAGCTACCGAGCGTATCCCGCCCACACGGCAGAGCCTGGCAAGCTCCCCACGGCGTATTCGATATGCCAAAAACAGTAACAAGTCTCACAATGAAGATGTTACTGGTGCCCGCTCGAGCAAATCGATGAACAATGAGAGGACAGTGTTACAGTGCTAAGAGGATTATCAAATGTCAATTCAAACATATTTAAAATGTCACTACACCAAACAAACTAAGTCTGTGTATTTTATATTCTTACCATCAAAAAAATACATAAATCTCTTAGAGTAAGAGAACATTTGAAAGGAAACCCTGGGGCCACAGATGCAGGTCGGTGGTCTGCGCTGGCTGAAGGAAGCTCAGGTTTCCTCGGCACCAGGGAGGATCCCCCAAGCACAGGGTAGATGCGAGTCCCTGAGCTCTGCTGGGTGTGGCCCCAAAACCAAACATTGTTCTTCAATTAGAAAAAATATGGTAATAAAAAGGCCTAGCAGATAAAGTGAGGCAGTCTTTTTAAAAATTACATTGACAGGGGCCGGAGCGATAGCACAGCGGGTAGGGTGTTTGGCCGACCCGGGTTCAATCCCCGGCATCCCATAGGGTCCCCCTAGCACCACCAGGAGTGATTCCTGAGTGCAGAGCCAGGAGGAACCCCTGAGCGTTGTTGGGTGTGACTCCCCCCCCCCCGAAAAAAAAAAGCAAAAAAAATTACATTTAGAAGACTGGAGCAATAGTATGGGGGTTAGGGCACTTCTGGCTACTAAATCAAATGTGACGACCTTGCACATGGCAGACCCGGGTTCGATCCCCAGAGCCCCATATGACCCCTGAGCTTCTTCAGGAGTGATTCCTGAGCACTGAACTAGGATTAAGCCCTGAACACTGCAAAGTGTACCCTCCTCCACCCCCCCACCCCCCACTCCCCCGCTAAACATAATTTACATTGACAAGGGCTGGAAAGATAGTACAGCAAGTAGGGCATTTGCCTTATATTACGTAAGGTCCCCAAGTCTGCCAAAAGTCAGAGCTGAACAGAGTCAGCTATGACCCAAACCCCCTCACCCAGAAAAAAAAAAAAACCTGAAAACAAATTACGCTGACAAACACAAATCTGAAGTCTCATCAGGGCAAATAAACAGCCCAGTCCCACTTCTGGTCTTGGAGAGAGGCTGCAGCTGAGCTGGGCCAGGCAGGCCCAGTTTCCAGCCCAGATCTCTGGAGCCTTCTTCAGATGGGGGGACCGAGTCCTCACCCTGTGGGAACACCCAAGCGCTCCATCCACACCCAAACTCCACCAGCATAAAAACAGCCCAGCTGAGATGCCACACTGCTCCTCAAAGCACATGGCAGTGTACACCTCCAAACTCCACAATACCAACAGCCCAGTAGGAGCACAGGAACTAGATGGGAAAGTTGCCCACTAAGCTCAGCAAGTGAAATCTGTAACACAGAAAACTCAACTAGCATCACCCAGCTCAGGAAATACTCAATGACTTCAGTAACACCATCACGAGACATATGTTATGACAAGCAATATAACGTAAGTATTTTACGCATGCTCAGGGGCAGGCGGGGGCAGAGGCACTGGAGCACTGGGGGTGGGAAGATCACACTGGTGGTGGGATTGGTGGTGGACCACTGCATATCTCAAGCAACTTTGTAAATCAGGATGTTAAAATAAAATTTCAGACATTAAAAAAAGGAAGTCTCATCAGTAACATCAGTTTTCTAATGGAATTATTACCATATGCGTGACTATAAAAAAGAGATTTCTACTCACTGAACGGCTGAAGTCCCACTGATTTCTTCTATTTTTAATACTTTTGCTTTTGGAACATCGCTTGTGGGCAAAAGATCCTCTTGGCTTGAATTCTTCTTATTTGCAGTGCCTGTGGTTGCTATGACATTTGCTAGATTAATAGGATTACTCTCTGGAGGAGGAGCAGCAGTGCTATCTGGCTCATCCACAGTCTGTATCAAATTACCAGTTTCTTCTATAATAATCTTCCTGAGTGGTTTCTAGAACAATTAAAATAATTTTTAAAATCAACATATAAATGTTTTCTATTTATGGGTTAGAAACGAAAAGGCTCTAGTGTTCTGAAAGCCAGTATTTCAGTTCTAGCTATATTACATCCGATGGCTAGACAACTTAGATATCACACTCTAAGGACACAAAGACTATGGGCCAGGGGTAGAGTGAAGTAGCAGAGCACTGGCCTTGCATGCGTGAGGCCCTTAGTTTGGTCCCCAGCACTGGAAAGAAAAACAAAAAACACACCAAGAATCCAAAGATGCACAGCACTACCATATGTATGATGAAAGGAAGGTGTCTATAAAAAATACACACACGTATTCACCTTCCTTTAGTAGACTTCCTTTGTTGTATGCATTTGAGTGTACATACTTGTAAAGACAAATATATATATATATATGTTATAGAATAAAAGACAATGTCTTTTACTATACTATAAACTACTACTATAGAAGAGAAAGCCCTAACACTAGCAAACGTGAAAAGGAATCAGCACGGGCATGAGGTGAGCCTCACAGGTGGGCAATGCAGCGGGTCCTACAGGTCATAAAAGGTGAGAAGGCCCATGCAGAGAAGTAACAAGCAAAGCCTACATGCCTTAAAACAGACTGCAAAGGCTCTTATGTGTCAGGTCACATTTGGACTTCTCCAAAGGGAACAAACTCATACACACCCAATCACTTAAGGACTGTTTGGCAGCATATAGCAGACCAGGTAAAACCAGTGGACTGTATTGCATACTTTTTTTTTCTTGTTGGGTCACAACTGGCAATGCATAGGGGTTACTCCAGGCTCTGCACTCAGGAATTACTCCTGGCGGTGCTCGGGGGACCATATGGGATGCTGGGAATCGAACCCAGGCCGGCAACGTGCAAGGCAAACACCCTCCCCGCTGTGCTAGCGCTCCAGCCCCTGTATTGTATGAAATTAATACTAAAACTGAAGCACAGTCTCTAAATACATAGCAGCTAAATAAAAACAAGTCAGGTTTTTAAAGCTGGCAAGACTTAGACATGGTGCATTTTATTTTAATAACTAGCATTCACTCTTTCAATCATGAGGGGAATAAATATCTTCAATTTCTTAATTCTACAGGATACTCTTTCACATTTAATAAATACTCATTTGGGGCCCAGAGAGACAGCAAGGGGCTCAAGCCATCTTCTTGGCATCAGCTGACACTGGTTGGACCCAAGGCACAGCATATGGCTCCTGAGTGTCGGAGTATAGCTCTAAACATACGAGGCTCTTCATCTGTAGGTTCTTCTCTATGCTCTCCCCAACCAGCTAATCACCTTTCTCCCTAATCGGATTCTGTTAACTTGTAGGATCAGATCCTTCTAGGACATTGAACTTGCATTGTAAGTGAAACGTTGCTTTTCTCCGTCTCTTGCATAGTTTACTTTAAAGCAATGTCCTTTTTGTATGGACACAGCAAGACAGTTAATATTATGCTTCTGTAACTTGGGAGTTAACTGACTCCGAATGATATTTACTCTTGGGCATCTGCCTTCTCAACTCAGTTGCCCTTAGTTCCTAGCACCCCAAGAGCAGGGTCCCGACAAGGGACGAAAGGGACCCAGGGCAAGCTCTGAGCTACCCTGGCAACGAAATGGGCCAGGCCAAGTGCCATGATACTTAACCATAAGTTAAGAGCACAGTCAAGGACAAACTCTGTCATAACCCAAGAAGAAGTACCTGACTAAGGACCTTGCTGGGGTTAAGAAAGCCGAACCTGGCCTGAAGACTCTGGTCTGGAGGATACATTGAGATGTCCTCAGGAAGAACCAAACTTTAAGTTGATACATCTCTTACTGGGCTCATACAGAAGACATTGCTAGAAATAGGAGAAGCTGATTTACTACAACTATTCAAGTGGATTACTAGCTGAGGAAAGAAGAAAGCACACACCCTGGATGGGATCCCGCCCTTCAGCGATCTCCTAGTAATCCGAAGTCATCTCCTTGGATGAGATTTGTCCTTGAATTGATCTCCTGGAGGAGTGGTCTGTGTTGACCTGTTAATGCTCAACCCACCTTTGTATCACCTCCCTATGTGATTGCTTATAAACTAAGACTGTAAGATCGGAAGGGGGTGAGTGAGAATGAAGAGGGAGTGATAAGCAGGGGGATCCAGAGAGAGAACCAGAGGAGAATGGAGAGGAGATGGGAATGAACCGCACTTGATCCCAACCAGCCTGGCCCGCGTCCTTCCTTCGCCTGCCCATCGCATTGACCTCCCCGGGGTCGGGGAAGCCACGCAAGACCACCGAACACAAGCGGCAGGAGAGATAAGAGTGCTGCGGCCCTTCAGGAAATACACACTCGAGCAGCACCAGGAATGACCCCTGAGCACGGAGCTGGGAGTAAGCCCAGAGCAATGCCAGGTATAGACCAAAAACAAAACAAAAAATTCTCTTCCTTTGGACTCAAAAAGAACAAATACTTTTTAAAAGTAAGGTAAGTTATTTTGGGAACTGAAGGAAGGGAAAGAACATTTCAGGGTCAGAAGAGAAGGTGAATTTCCAGGACAGAGAATATGCCCAGCACACATCTCAGGCGGACAGGGGCCACGGTCCGGGAAAGGGGAAACATACCCTGAAGTGCCGCGTGATATCTTATCATCTCGTTCTTACTCTGGAGAACCTGGCTGGCTACCAAAAGTACCCTGCCCACACGACAGAGTCTGGCAAACTCCCCGTGGCATATTCACCATGCCCAAAACCAGTAACAATCACGGGTCTCATTCCCCTGACCCTGAAAGAGCCTTGAATGTGGCACTTTCTAAAATCTCAGGGCTAGGGCGAAGGAGACGTTACAATCGATGAACAACAGGATGACAGTGATACAGTGATACGGAAGGAACGGAAGGCACTCCGACCTCTGTGTTCGTTCCGACCACACAGCTGGACTCGGTGGAAATGGAGTAGAACACGGCGCCTCCTAAGAAGAATGGGGTGCCATGTCTGGCAGTTCGCAGGTGGTAAAGCCATGTCAGGGGCTGCCCCCAGGGTGCTGTCCATGCCAGGCCCGTGCCCCAGCCCCTTTAACTCTCTCCCCGGGACTAGACTGCCGAATTCAAATCGAGAGCTTAAGTAAACTAAGTTTTGACACATGTATTACTTCCATGCTAAAACCACTCTATCCCGTAACTAAGGCCTAATGGTAAGGACTGTTACTAGATAAACGCATAAAAATGCAAAAGATGATAGCAAATTTTCTGACAGAATCCTGTTAGCAGTCCTCTTTTAATCATGAATAATTGAGGTCTCTATTGAGAAATATCAGTAGCAGTAATTTTCTATCAAGACAGGTAGGACACTTTTCTCGCACACAGAAGACCCAGGTCCGATCCTGGGCACCCCATGTGGTCCCCTTAGCACTGCCAGGAGTGAGCCCTGACCACCGAGCCAAGAGGAAGCCCTGAGTGCTGCCGGGTATGGCCCAAACACAAGAACAAAAAGGACTGACCAAGAATGGATGTATGTTGCCATTTAAAGAAGAAAAACTAAAAAGCCTCATTTCTAACAGGCAATATTTATTTAAACCAAGGCAGTCTTGCTTAAAACTAATCCTTTCATTAACGACAGTTTTGTAAGCATAGTTCTAACTTTCTAACAGATGGTCTCTAGTAAGTGGGTGCTGATGGCTAAGGAGACTGAGAGGAAGTCCGGATGCTGAAAGTAGTAATAATAAAACTCAAAAAATCCCACTATCGGGTCACAGAGCTCGTAGAGGCTTCAAGGTCTATCCCAGCATCGCCTGGTCTCTCTGAACATCACAGGGTGCAGCCCTTGAGGTCCCCAAACACCACCAGGGTGGCCCAGGGAATGCCTAGCACTTAAAGAACCAAGTAACAGAGTACCCTCAGGCCCCTCACTCAACTCCTGGGGGCTGCAGGCCTCTTAACATGGCTCAGGAATACCCCCACCTCCAGCCCTCCTGCAAAAAAAAAAAAAGGAAACACGAAAGGCTTACTTCATCCCTTTTATTAAAATATAGTGGCATACTTAAGCACAGAGCATTTCCAGTAACAATTCCTTAGTGCAGAGCCCGGAGTAACTGCTGAGTCTCGCCAGGATCAAAAACAAAACAATAAAATAAATCAAAGCATTTTAGAAGCTGGGGAGATAATACAGCGGGTTGATACCTGAGCACTGATGGGCGTGGCCCCAAACCAAGAAACAGATACAGAACAGAGATCAAGGAAACGTCCAAGTATCAGGGAACCCTCGGGCCCAGCGGGCCAACCTCACCGCTCTCCTTCCTTCTCGCGACAGACTTGCCAGATGCATTATGAGCTGCCAACCGCCGCAGCACACATCGCCCTGGTCTCGCCCCTCACTCCAGTCAAGTCCTTTCACAGGTCTCCACTCCCCACCCCCAGCCCCCGAGGTTCTTTCCTTACCACTTTCCCCAGTAACAAGACGGTTTCCAAACTGCGTGACAGAAGCAGAAATGAACACTCATTTCACCTCAACTGCCCCAACATCAATGGACAAAATTCCCTTCCATTTCAACTAACCTGTGAATCACTCTCAACTAATGCAGAAAAAGTAATTTGGAATTAGGCAACTAATTCAAGATTTGAAAGTTTATAAAGAGTGGCTCAAATTAAATCTCAAACTGCATCTCCTGCTTTTCAAAATGAGGTCCAGATTTTGACTGCAGAGAACTGTTACCGGAGAGCTAGTACAGGGCTTACAAAGCTCACCTCCACCCAGCCAAACCCAGTTCAACCCCTGGGCACCACCAGGAGTCATCCCCGCGCTCACAGGCCGAAGTCAAATGTGGCTCAAAACCGAAATAAATAAGTAAATAAAGAAAGAAAAATTTTCTTCTTTCCCAATGATTCTGTTGGATAAAGGGCAGAACGGTTTACCACACAGTTCTCATTTCATAGAAATGTCTCATTTTGATAACCTGCCAGATTTAAATTTGTCATTTTCACAACAATTAACATAAACTGGCTTTTATACTGGAGGAATAGAGGACCAGATCTATAACAGTTGCTTAAGGTACACTGGTAACAGAGCATTACATGCACAGGTATTTGCCAAACGGCAATGTCTTAGTAACTATGGACAGAAAAATCTAACAGTTTGTTAGATTCCACAAAATGAAATTTTGTAAAGAAACACTTTAGAAATGTAAGTTTAAATCGGACTTAATATATATCATCTTTAATTTTATAAAACGCAAATGAATCTACATAAAAACGAGTATCACTTGATCACTTGACTTCCCGTTAATCATTGATTTGCTCGAGCGAGTGCCAGTAACGTCTCCATTTGTCCCTGTCCTGTGCTAGTGTAGCCCAATGGCGTCTGTTCGTTCTAGGAACACGAAGAGCCTCAAACCGATCGTTCAGGGTCTTGACGAGTATAACTTATGATAATAAAACAAATATTATTTTTAAAAATCCAAAAATTGGTGGCCAGAAAGATAGTACAGTGGATAAGATGCTTGTCTTGAACGCAGCCAACCCACGTTCAATTTCTAGCATCTCATATGGTCCCCCAAGCCTGCCAGAGCCATAAGCACCGCTTGGGTGTAGCCCAAAAAAACACTGTAGCACATCAGCACTGTTGTCCCGTTGTTCATCAATTTGCTCAAGCGGGCACCAGTAACGTCTCTATTGTGAGACTTGTTGTTACTGCGTTTGGCATTTCGAATACGCCACGGGTAGTCAGGCTCTATTGTGCAGATAGGAGGCTCTCGACAGCTTGCTGGGCTCTCCAAGAGGGACAGAGAAACCGAACCCAGGTCGGTCACATGCAAGGCAAATGCCCTACGCTGTGCTATTGCTCCTGGGTAGCCAAAAAAACAAACACACAAAAATTCAAGAATGATCAACAAAACCACTGAAAAGTGGTTGGAGTGAATAGTGCAATGGGTAAGGTGTTACAATGGGTAAGCCACCTTACATGCGGCTGTCCTGGGTTAGATCCCCAGCATCCCATATGGTCCCTCATGCACCGCCAGGAGTGATTCCTGAGTGCAGACCCAGGAATAAGCCCTGAGCACCACAGGGTGTGAACCCCTCACCCCCAGACCCAAAACAAGGGACACCGAAAGGTATCAAATTAAGGAAACTTCTACAATTATACTTTGTAAAAACGAGGGCCCGGCAAGCTACCGAGAGTATTCGATATGCTAGACACAGTAACAACAAAGTCTCCAATGGAGACGTTACTGGGCCCGCTCGAGCAAATCGACGATCAACGGGAGGGCCTTTACCTTTACCTTTACCTTTACCTTCTTCCTTTGTAAGAGTTTGATGAGTACATCTGCTCTGACTCTCTTCTAAAATTGTAATTCGTTAATCACCATCAATGCATAAAACCTATCAGACCCCTCTGGGGCAGGACAGGATAGTAAGTTGTGAGGGGCACACAGATCTGACACGGTCATGGGTTGTGCAGGACACACACGTCTGGAGAGCTAATGCCATAAAAGTTTGGCCTGGATTAGTGATTTTTTAAATAATGGCTTCACAATTACTTGATTTGTTAGTTGTTGTTTTTCCCATGTGCTTTATAGTTCAAAATTCACATACGATACATAAAAGTTAGAAGTTAACAGTCACATACGTATGTGCTTTGAATTACTACAACTTTAAAGTTCAGAACAAAACAAACCACTAAATTCATGCCCGCTCCTCTTGGCAGTTAAGCACCAAAAGAGAAAACAAAACAAAAAACACCAATAAATAAACAACCTGCCTCTATTTATGCCATAAACAATAACCTATACTTCATGCTTGGTTTATGGGCCACACTTGGCTGTACTCAGGGACGATTCCAGTTGCTGGGCTCAGGGAATCACCTGTGCCAGGGACTTAATCCAGAACGCTTGCAAGTAAGGCATAAGCCTTAAGCCATCTCTCTCATCCCAGGCAATGTAGAATTTCAAGAATAATTATGCCTACACTAGATTTTTGCCTGCAGCACTAATTTAGATATAACCCTACACATGATAAATGGCTATAACACTAAAACTCTATTTCAAATAGTCACAAAATAAAAACCAATTATAGAAAGTACAATAGCTTCAAATTCCTTTAAAATTAGAAAATCATAAAATCACTGTCACTGTCACCCCATTGTTCATCGATTTGCTCGAGCGGGCCCAGTAACATTGTGAGGCTTGTTACTGTGTTTGGCGTATCAAATATGTCACGGGGAGCTTGCCAGGCTTTGCCGTGCGGGCGAGATACTCTCGGTAGCTTGCCGGGCTCTCCAAGAAGGGTGGAGGAATTGAACTCGGGTCGGCCGGGTTGGCTGCGTGCAAGACAAACGCCCTACCCACTGTGCTATCTCTCCAGCCCAAAATTAGAAAATATGTATCAATATTTAAATTTAGTGTTAAAAGTCACTTAAGGCCCTCTATTATAACAATGGGGGCTGGACTGCTGTTGGAGTGTTGAATGCCTTAACAAATCACCACGAACAACTTTGTGAACCAGAGTTTAAATAAAGTAAAAAAGAAATGGAAAAAGGAAAACACACACACACACACACACACACACACACACACACACACGATGTTCTTCTGACCAGAATGTTTTTTTGTTCTTAATGAGTTAAATTCTCAAAAAAAAACCCCAAAACCCTCTATTATAAACTTAATTTTCTTCCATTATCCTAAAATAATCAATAATCCTAAAAATTCTGACGATTCTAAAAACGGTCCTAGAGCTTTCAACATTATGTTTAAGAGTTTGTTCATTCAGCAGTTTCCAACTTGAAACGAAAGCAAAATGAAACGAAAGAAAAGTTCTTTACTTACAGCCGATCCAAGATGAGATGGATTATCAATTGGCTTTATCACATTCTGCCTTTGTGTTGAATCAAGAAAGACATTGTCCCAGTGTCCTTTCTCAATTAATTCCTTAGAGAAAAATTTGCAGTCATGACTACCCATAATATGCAAGTTAATTATGTAACCAATAAGTGTGTTTCAGAAAATAAAACCAATCTGGGGGGAATACCATACCTTTTTAATTTTGGAAAGTTCAGTTACAGCTTGCTTATTTCCAGGTTCCAAAAGTAAAACAGTTTCAAAATCTAAAGTAAATTTTTAAATATAATAATTAGGGAAAATATTCTCTGGAGAACATCATGTAAACTCCATGTTCACAGTCACATGTAACTTAAGCAGGAGGCTGTTCTGAGAAGTGCCTCACAGGGTGATTCGGCATTGTGTGACCACAGATGCTGTCACTGTACCATCATTATTGTCATCAACATAATTACGCAAACTAAATACAGTTTAAGACTATGTGACACAGCTTAAGAGCCACCGTTCCCTCATCACTAAGATGCTATTAGGCAATACATGACACTATTTAATTAGTCACACCATGTTTATCTCGTAAAATATTCAGAATGCTCAGTATCAAAAATTAACATTTACTGAGTGCTATTCTAGTGGCTATACAGGAATTATGATGTGACCCTAATTATAATTACACTTTACAGGTTAGCTAATTGAGGCATAGAGGTTATGACTTTATAAAACTCCCACAAATTACAAAGTAACTCACCAAGCGTAAGATAGAATCAATGAAAATTCTATATAATAGAATATTACTCAGTCTTAAAAAAATTAAGTTCTGATCTATGGTTATATGAATGAACACTGAAGACGCTATGCTTAGTACAGAAGCCAGGCAGGCACAAAAGAACAAATGTTGTATAATTTGCTCTCTCTCTCTCTCTCTCTCTCCATATACATATGATACCAAGAACAGTCAAATTCCTAGAGACAGAAAACAGAATGATTTTCAGGGCTGAAAGGAGAAAAGAGAGAAGAATTACTGCTTACATTGGGTTTTATTTTTTTTTAACTTTTTCCACTTGTGAACCCTTACCATCTGAGAAGTTTCTACATGACCACAGGTATATAAATCAAAAATTTACTGATAATAAAGCACAAGAAATTTGCTTTAAATTTTCATTTTAAAAACTGCTTGCAACTCCTACAAGGGGTCACAACCAACAGTTTAAGAAGCGAGGGCTTAGATTCAGGAATAGTCTTCAGACGGTGTGATGAAAACATTGTGGGTGTGGAGAGTTGTTACAGCTTCTCAATAATTAATCACAATCACTGTCACTGTCACCCCACTGTTCATCGATTTACTAGAGCGGGCGCCAGTAACATATCTATTCGTCCCAACCCTGAGATTTTAGCAGCCTCTCCTTACTCATCTTTCCCAACGCTGCCATATTGGAGGAACTTTCAGGATCAGGGGAATGAGACCCGTTATTGTTACTGTTTTTGGCATATTGAAGACGCCAGGGGTAGCTTGCCAGGCTCTGCCATGCGGGCGGGATTCTCTCGGTAGCTTGCTGGGCTCTCTGAGAGGGAAAAACTGCCTCAACAATCAATGATCTTTTTTTAGGGGGGGGGTGTCGCACCCAGCAATGCACAGGGGTTACTCCTGGCTCTGCACTCAGGAATTACTTCTGGCGGTGCTCAGGGGACCATATGGGATGCTAGGAATTGAACCCGGGTTGGCTGCGTGCAAGGCAAATGCCCTACCCCCTGTGCTATCGCTCCAGCCCCGACAATCAATAATCTTAAAAATTTGCTCAATAGTGTAAATATACCTAATACCACTGAACTGTCCACTTAGAAATGACCAAAATGGTCAATTTTGTGTTAAGTAAAATTAACCACAATAAAAATACATGGGTCCCAACTGAATCCAGGCCTGGAGAGGACATGCCGCCCCTCTCTGATCTGACACTCTGGGTATGAAAGAGTCGAACTTTATCCTATTCCATTTTTGTTCAGCCACTAGGTGTCTGGCAAAGCACTGCAAGGGAGGCCTCATGGCTGATTCCGACTCCATGTGGAGTATACTGGGCCTGCATGGAGCTGTCCTCTGCATAACGCTGGCCTTTTTCCGCGGCTCCCCTCCACTAGTAGGGTGAGCAGGGGAAAACGGGCTCTGTCTACTCTCCTCCCCTCTGAAAAACAGAGGTCTTCTTGATATCTTGGAGGGGCCCAGTCAATGCTCCCCCTAGCTGGCGTCTTTTATAATAAAGGAAGGGGGAGATGTGGGAAGCTGGCCCTTTAACTGACCAAGGGCCTACGTGCATGTGCTAGGTATGGCTATCTTGACCTACGTGATCCTCAGCAGGTAAAGCCTGTGCTAGGTATGGCTATCCTGACTTACGTGACCCTCGGCAGGTAAAGCCTGTGCTTTGTATGGTTATCCTGAGAAAACATCTGTCATGGCTGTAACTGACAATGAATAACTTGGTATAAACTTTGTAATGCATGGTATGTCAAACTTATAGACTCTGTAACTTTCCTAAGCACATATGGGCACAACCCTTTTTGTGTAACTACACTGTGCTTTTCCTGTACTGATAGGTATCTAAGCCCCTGCTTCCCTGAATAAAGTTCTGTTCTGTCCTGTCCTATCCTGTCTGCTGTCCTGTCTGCTCTGCCCTATTATGTCTCTTTTGTCTTGTGTTCATTCGGTTGGTCCTTTACTGCACCTACAGATCCTAGGGCCATCTCCGGGGGCCAGAGAGTGGTCTGGCGTCGCCCCCCCCCCCCCCGCATGCCTCTAAAAATCGTCAGGGTTGGGAATCTTGTGCATGTCCCAGTTATCCAATTCTGTTGTTCAGCGGCCTGTTTACATTCTGCAGTCGTGGTGTTCACTTGCTATCCTCTCTACCCTGGTCAGCTCTTCATTTCCCTGTCCACACGACCCAGACTTCTGAAATCATTGGAATCTCCACTACAGAATGTTCTGTTCATTCACTGCGAGTCTGAAATTCATCTGAATCTCCACTCTATGCAGGCTTTTGTTTCTCCACTGGTGAGTCTACCAGAAACTTGAAATCATCGGAATCGGCACTCTACAATCCTCCATGGTCTGCTTTTCATCTTCCTATCCACACTGCTGGTCTGGCCCGATAGCAGAGCAGTAGCGAGTTTGCCTCGTGCAGCCAGCCTGGCCGAGAACCGGGTTCAATTCCTCGCCCTCTCAGAGAGCCCGGGAAGCTACCGAGAGTATCTGGCACTCACGGCAAAGCCTGGCAAGCCACCCGTGAAATTTTCCATATGCCAAAATCACAGTCACCACAAGTCTCCAAACAAAGACATTACTGAACCGCGCCAGCAAATCAATAAACACCAGGACGACAGGGATAGTGACAGTGATCCACACTGCCGAGTGTTGAATTCATCTCAATCTCCAATGTAGCAGGCCTGCTTTTCTTCTCGTTCTCCACAAAATCGAGTCAAATTAGAAATCTGCCAAGTGAGCATTTGTTGTAAACTCTCCCCAGGCCTGCTGGTCAGCTCCCTATTTACTCGAATATAGTATTCTGTTCATTAACCTTGCCAGACTGGAGTTCATCTAAATACCAACATCTACATATCTGGTGTTCATTTGCCTGTGCACTCAATGAAGCCGAAGTTTTCATCATCCCGTCCACTCTACCCAGACCTGGTGTGCATCGACCTCTGAATCAATCGAAACCCTAACCCTCACCCTAACCCTAATCAAAGAAATAGAAAATAAATTATCTAGCAGCTGCCCCTGGCAGGCAGGCTTGAATGGTGGTGAGAAAATTCAAAATAATGTTGGTAGGAAGATGTAACGGTGGTGGGATTGGTGTTGAAATATTGAATGTAGTCAATTAATCTGAACAGCCTTCTGAAAATAAAACTTTAAAAAATTAAAAAGAGTGCTCACATATAGCCATCATAAAAAATAATTTAACTCCAGTGTGTCACCCCATTCAAAATTTTAGAATTCCTGGAGTCATATCTCAAACCTTACATTACTGATAAACAAAGAGTAGTACACCACATTGGATGGGATGCAAAGTAGAAGGCAACCAATCTCTATTAAGAAAACGTTAACACACAATGCTTAACCTGTAACAACATATTAGTAATCTCTTATACAAGAGCTTAAAGGCTCCAGGGTGAGATACAACAGTCTTTACAGTATTCTGGGGAAACCCGTTTTGGTCATTTTTAGTGAATTATTCATAACAAGTAATATTTAGGGCAGACTTGGGTTGTGGTTGGAAAAATTGGAAATAATGATGGTGGGAAGATGCAAGGGTAGTGGGATTGGTGTTGGTATACTGAATGTAACAAATCATGAACAAATTTATTTAAAAATTTTAATAATACAAAATATAGTTCAGGAATGTTTTTAATAAACAATAGAAAATAAATGTTGCAATTTTGAAACAATTCTGTCAAATATTTAAGTCTCAATAATAATGCCAATATTCCTAATTTGGAGTACTTCTGTTCTATCAGAATTGCACTGTATATAAGAGTCAGTACACCCTAAGAGATGATCCTTTTGAATCCCAAGAATAGAAACACTGAAGTGTTGGGATTGTTGGTGGTTTAATATACTTTGCCTATAAAGTACCTGAATTTCAAAGGACCTGTTTCTCATATTTAGTAACTTCTAACTATTTAACTATGAGGGAAAACATTTAGCAAAGTATCAAAGTTTGGGTGACTCTTTGTGTTATCTAACTCAACATACCATAGATTTTTCTTTTCAATCAAAATTTGGTTTTCTGTATTGAGTTTTATTGTGAGAGCTGGTATTTCCATGATTAAGTAGCTGATATTTACTTTGCTTGACCCTTTCGGTTGGATAAAAAGTATAAATATTTACATGAAATTCAATACTATCCTACCAACAACATAGGAGAATAAATAGGCTTCTTATACCCCTTCATTTGAAGATAGGTTATATAAACCAAATGGAAAATTCCTCATCAAGTGTATCTATGAAGAATCTGCTGGTACTGAATGGGTGGCATATGGGTGAAAATGTACCAATCTCTACCTTAGAAATAAATATCACAAATTGCATAGAAATGAGTTTACTATTTCTATTTCCTTCTTTAAGAATGAAACTATAAATATAACCTGAGTGTGAATTTCTAATGTAAATATTTAAAAGTTAATCTGTATTTTGGTAGCAATGGTGCAGAAACTTGTTCACTTCTTTTGGGGTACACTTTTCATATGAACTCTCTTCTATATTCATTTTTGGATCGAGTTGTTTTGAACTATACCCAGTGGTGCTCAGAGCTTACATTTGATTCTGACATCAGGTATCACAGGTCTCAGGGTACTGGGATTCAAACCTGAATATACCTCATATTCAGGTAAACCTACCCACTTTACTACCCACTTTACTACCTCTCCAACTCTATTTCATTCTTGAGCTATGTATTTAGCAGACTTTTTATATAATTTATGAAAAATAAGTATTAACTAGTGCAAGTTAGATAATAAAAAAGTTAAGCTAAAGTTATTTGTAGTACAAAAACATGTGGAATCCAGTAAATACTGTTGAGCATGTAAATAAGAGGACTTAACAGTTAAAATAGATCTTTTCATGTGGTAAAGGCATATAGCAAACAGACTAACTATACCACGTATGAAATAACAGCCATCTCAAAAATAGTGGGAAAAGAGCAAATATAGATTAAAAGAATTTAAGAAAAACCACCTCAATGAGTAACCAACCATCCTTGCTGACAGTTCCGTAAGTATTCAGAGAATTTGTTTGTAATAGGTATCAGGATATGGTCACATTAGATTATCTCTCCAAACTTCTTGCTTTCTCATCTGGAAAATGGGAGTAAAATTAGTTAGTTCATTGAATTTTCTTGAAAAGTAAATTAATATTAAGTGCATGTAAGTTATTTTATTTAATGGCATTCATACAATATCATATAAAATCAGTTTTTATTAAAGTAAAGGAAGATAATGAGTTAAAGATATTTTCCAAGGGTTTAAGCCAGGGTGTCTGAGGACATAGTGATTCACTGACAAAATTGGATAGTTATTCTGGGAAAGAGAAAATTAGCATCATATTGAGATATTGTTATGACATTCCCAGATATTATGGGCATAGATTCTTAAAATGAAATAACACGTGAACTTGCTAACTGATTGAGCTACAGAAACCTGGCTAAAATGAAATAGAAAAGAGACATATCATTGTATTATGTTCTATGTCATAACCACGTCAACCATTTCTCTCAGCA